AATATGTTTGAGTGATCTGAACAGTCTTATTGCCCAGTCTATCACTGAGCAGTCTTTCTCTACATCCTGGAAGTTGGTGACAACTGTCACCGTCAAACAGACTCATGGCCGGGCCATGAGAGCAAACTGCTTACAACAGCCACCGGCACTCAGCACGTAACTAGGATTTGCTCTGCAAGTAAGTGCCACAACCGAACTGCAAGCGATGCGGCATTTCTGTGCGTTCAGATGGGCGCAGGGCAGAGCCAAAGATGGCTTCCTGTGTTCGGCAGTCAGATCCGGCAGCAAGCAAAAGAACAAAACCAAAGCACAGCTGAAGATCTTGGCCAAACGGCAGAGAAGCTCAGCTGGTGAGAAAACTGCAGAGTGAGCGTCGAATCAACCTCATCCGTCCCAGAAGAGACCTGACCACGACTCACTGGGAAGGCCCAGTGAGCGAGACAGTTCGCCACAATGAACGGAAGATGCTCCACTTTTCAGGCAGAAAGAGCCGAACGAGTCAAGGGTGGGGATGCCTGACCGGTCTCATTCCATTTTTCTCAAGGAATACCTTCTCCAAGAGGCCGTAGACAGCAGTCTAGCACAAAGAAGACCAAAGCTGTTGCACCAAGGCCGTCCTGCTTCTCTTCGGGCCACTTCTGTTCATCAACGGTGCCCTGGCGTCAGCACAAGGTGTTTGCATACACGGTTTAGATGTCATGTGAAAGTTGATAAACAAATCAAGTCTCATTCTCATCTCTTGTCGCAAGTCTCCAATTGGTGCCTTGCATTTGTAAGGGTGGTAGAAGCCTTTGTGCTCCTTGTCCCAACACCTCAGCTGCACAAAAAATAGTAGTGGATCATAGTGGATCCATACTACTTCGATGCTCAACCTCTGTCAATTTGTAGACTGAACTCTGTTGCCATACTCCGGAGGCAGCTTCCTTCTAGATAAACTGCTTTTCATGGAAAATTTGCTCATGACTCATGATGTGTCCTTGGACGTAAGAGAAAGCCGTGCAAGAGACAAGTCTCATGGTTGCCATATTCTGAGCAGAGGGCCACTGTTTCTTTTTCGGTTCCCAGCTAGTCTCCTCGATGCTGAGGCTGGCAAACCGGTAACGGCTCAGACGTTTCACAGAAACGTTCAATTGAAGTCACACGAAAAGCTCACTCACACCACTGTGGGCAGTGCCCAGGTGTCCAAATTGTGGTCGCAGTCGAAGAGTGGTTTGCATCCTTTCTGCTTCTTCCGACAACACCTGGAGTGGGACGCAACAAGTAGTCGAATGCAGTGACTACATGATACTACATGTCGTTTTGTCCAGACATGGGGTCAGTGAACTTGGCTGGTCAGGCCACATTCTCAATTTGTTTTTGATAGTCTGTAATGTCAGTCAACCGAACCGAATGCTCCAGCGCACCAATCTAGCTTGTCCGATGACCAGCCACGGTCCTGGGGTACAGCCAGGCTGCAGAATAGAAATAAAGGCGCTGCAAAAGTCTGGCTTCAGCAGTTCTGGTGATATGGATTATGCTATACATATCATCCTCCAGTTTTGACTGCAGCTTCAGAGACGTTCCCTTCTAAAGAAAAAGGCAAACGTTGACGGTCCGCATTCTCGATGCCCTCGTCACAGTCGAACAACTCATGGTGATCTCCGGAAGTGAAGCACCTGAAATCAGTCTGTGGAGAGCAGTGGAGCAGCCAAAGAATGTGTATATATACTTATATAGATTTACAGCGCAGCATGTCAGTTTCTCCGACTTATCACAACTAAAAACTATACAGTACATTGCTAGTCTCAATGCACGACTTGCACAAATATGTATATATATATATATATACATCAAAATACATGCAGCTCATGCAGGTGGCAGTACAACAAATCCAAGGTCTGGACCAAACCTTCTTCTCCAGACTCCAAGAGGAGCCCTGCGGCCGTTCGGCCGTTCGGCCGGTTCCGTTCGTGGCCGTCGTTCGCTCATTCGACTCGCCGCGCCCAAGTGGAGAAGTCAGCGAGGCAGTCGAACTCGCTGACTTGCGGTGTGCAGTCAGCATCCACATCGCAGCACCTCAAAAACCCGAGGTCAATCATCTGGGGTCCAAAAAACGTCTGTGGTCCAAAGTCAATCCTCGATAGCTGTCGACTCAACGAGCCATGCGGCTGATCGGTGGGCACAAGTACCATCAAAACAGGCGCAGCCCAGGGCAGATGTATTGAGGCACTGCGGAATGCTGCAAAGTGTGGATAAGTCGCTGTGTGAAGAGTCCTTCACCCCTATCAATAGGAGACGAGACACTGCGTTTCCGAGTCCATGAGTCCAGCTTCAACCGGCAGCTGGGCAGCAGTCAGTCCACCAAGGCAAGAAGAGTGAGACAGGCTATGAGATCCTTCAGGCCCAGCTCTCGAGAAGCTGCGTTCGCTTGCGCGAAGGCAGGCGGCTTGTTTGGGGTGGAGAAATAATGCAGATCGGATGACATGTCCCGTTCTCTTCGCTCGGAGCTAAAGCTCCCCACCACTGTTTCTTCACCTCCGTCCATTTCGCGTCCTGGCAGCACTTTTTCAAACCCTCCACATGGTCACCATGGGTAGCACCCTCAACACTTCTGGGTTCTTCTCCAAAGTTAAAACTCACTGAAAAGGTCGCTACTTCTCCACCTCTCCGAGAGTCTCCTTGTCGGGGCAGTCAAACGGTCTGTCGATGCCCTCGATATTGTCACCCTGACGGGACAACACTGAGACAAACCAACTGCTTAGAGTTTATGGGGTACGGTATATTGGAATAGGGAGACCGCCTGGCGCAAGGCTGTTCAAATTGTTCAAATCAGCGTCTCGCAGCTTCCACTGTCGCCATCCCAGACAGCCTCTGGTCTCCAATCCGAAAGGTCTTCATCGCCCAGATCAAATTCATGTCGAATCGGATGGGTGCGATGCACTCGTTTCACATCAATGGAGATCCTCGGGAGATTCGTGGCGAAAACACGCGAAAAGAAAAACTCGGATGTGACAGAAGCCCATCAACACTGGCCCAACTCCCTGATCAGGTTGGAGGCCATCGCTATTAGGATGGCAAAAATTGCCATTAGAGGAAGCTTCGAAACTGAGCGTTGAGAAGTCACTAAGCGCCCCGCACATGTGCCCCGAAGCCCTGAGCAACATGAAAGTGAAACGGCCTCTACACTCCAGCCCTTGTGCTCTCCTCTGCCGAACCGTTTCGGCCTGACAGTCGCAATCTGCCCAGGTGCCATCCACGCGTACACACCAAGGCTGGCCTGACTTTTTGCCAAAAACTCAAGCTTTTTCTTCACCTTTTGTCGTCCACAAATGTGGGCATGGGCATGGCGCATGCTACAAGCTACCTTCATGGACCTTCATCTACTTTCCAATTTTTACTGCATGAACGCAACTGTGGATGCCCCGTAGCACTGTAGCGCTTGAAATCTCATTCCAGAGCTATGCAGCTCATCTCCTGCCTCCCATGTCAGAATTATCGACGGTGCACCTTGGAGGGGTGGATCATTTGCTGAGTATCCAGTAGCCTCGAAGCCCTGAGGCTCAAGCGAATAGTGCCTTGGTGCGGCATGTCGTCACGGCAAGGGAAGGTTGAGAACGAGAAACATGGAAACTTGAGATTGTGCAAACAAGAAATCCGGTGAGCTTGAGAACATTTTAGAACTCAAGAATCTCGCCTTCAAGCTAGTTTAATCCAAGTGGCTTCTTGCCACCCCATTCATAGGGGAAATCGCAAGGAATGCCGCCAGCAGTAGTTGCATCACATGATGTCACCATTTTGTGACTCACCTCGGCGCAAAGGCTTTAGGAATAATTAACTTGGACTTGAGTGAATTCGATTCTACTTGGTTGCTTTGACTGAAAGAGAAGTAAGGCTTTGGCCGAAATATGCCCACATACTTGACGTGCAAAGCGATCATGCGTGCAGCACCAATACTGCTTCTCCTGCGTCAGTATTCTCCGCTAGTCCGCTTGGGTCATGGTCTCAAGTATTACATACCCCTCCTTCGACCAATGGGAATCCCAATGATCAAGATGGCGTTGGCAGTCATAGAGCACCTCATCAACTAAGCAAGGAAGATCTTCACAAACACTCTTACACATTCTACAAAACCAGTAGCAAATGTGTATGCCCGTTTTTTAACTTCACCATTGTGGAATTCGTGTGGAGTGGCCAAAGGAGCCGGTACCGGACCCATGTTCTCCACTCGAACAGCATGTGATGCAATGAAACGGGCTTTTGGGGCAAGGACGGGTGTTGGCAAGAAGCCTGCAATGCCGTGCAGCGGAACAACAGTCAATAAAGAACGCATGGGCTGAAAACAATAGCATCTGTGCGAAAAGTCTGACCTGGGCATGCGGAACGCGCTTTTGTGAGCTCAACCAATCCTGGCCTCCAATTCTGGCCTCTCCAATATAGCATTGCTCCTCCAAACACAGCAACTTGATTCAGGCTTCGGGTGGCCCCCCCCAAAAAACAGTAGTGATGAGAAAACTGCAATGAACAAACAAAAAGCCCCAAACACACAAAAGGCGTGCCTTGCAATCTTCTACTGGAAACGGTCCGTGCAATGCTTCACGGCAGCCACCCTGAGTTGACCCATCACCATAACCTGAGGACATTAGACAGTCGTTCGGGCGACACGTTCGGGCCATCCAATGGGACAAGATCTCTGAAGGACAAGATCTGTCTTCGTCTTCTCTGTAACAAGATTCGGATCTGAAAATAACGAAGGTGGTAAAGTTTCAGCCAAGGCACAGTAGAAGCCTCCAAGTTTCGTTCTTGGATCACTCCACTCCTCTGGGCCTTGGAACAAGTTTCAAACCGGTGCTTCTGCCATTGTTTACTGCATACATACAACCTTGGCATGCATGAGAACCTGCTTTGCTTCAAGGAGAAAGGCCTTTTTCTGCGGCTCTTCATCCGCTTACAAGTGACATTACATCACCACAAGGTGGCCGTTCAAAAAAACCACCCGACTCCGTTTCCGTGGCAAAAGGGACTCATGACCGAAGTCGTCGAAGTGAGAAGCCATTGCCCGTGGCGGTGCGCCACGCTGCCTTGAAGACTCTGAGCCACGCATCCTCGTTGTTGGCGAACTTCTTGATGGACTCATATGCCGGACCCTTCGGATCAATGGGGAGCCCACAATCAATGGCGGCATCAGAGCGACCATCAAACTCTTCTCCACAGCAAATGGCCCGTTGCTGCCGGAAATTGCTGCTTCCAGGGATGTTGGTGCTGCCACAAAAGCGCCCCTCTTCATACTTGGTGGTGGCAGTAGAGACTGCCACCGGAACACCCCAGGTACACTTGCATTCAGCACTGGCAGCAGTGGCTGCATCAAGCTCAACAGTGCCCGCATCGTCCATTGTGAAAGCCAAACATAGGTCAGTGTTCAGCATCATCTCTTTCCCCAGGCCAGTCTCATTGGCTCCAGCATCTACTCGTTTCCATTGATTCTTCTGTGCATTGCCTGCAACGGCCACTTCTGGTCCCCAGCCTTTGGCCAAGATAGACACGTAGTAGTCATTGTTAAACTTTCGACTCATGAGAGCTGAGCTCCACCAACCGTTGTAGCCTGAATTTGCTATCTGTGCCCTACCGAGAGTGTGAACTCCCATTAGGGCTGCTGCTTGGCCCCAAGTGAGGCCCATACTCTCCACAAAGGTCTCCTGTACGGCCGAGCAGCTATTCTCCGGGTTCGGCAGCCTGCCATGGGCCCATTCACAAGTCTTGGCAGTGGTGCGGCCAAACTTGAAGCTGGACTTGAAGTCAATGGTGGATCGACTGCTATCTTCCAAGGTGACATGCTGACGAGATGCACTCATCACTGCTTCAGCTGCAATCACCAAAAAGTCGGCCAAGGACACGGACTGGCAGAAATGCTGGTAGGCGTCCGCAATCGAAATGCCAAATTCACCTGTAAAGAGACACTCCGCGAGGCCCAAGTTGTCCGCATCCGTCAGGTCCACACAGCCATCTGCACCTCCCTGGCCATCCTTGTAATCCATAAAGTCGTGACCAGCCATCCGCAAAACACACCCGGCCCAGTCAGCTTGTGGACATTCAGTTGGCGTGCAGGTGCCTCATGGGCGTGAGATCTGGTTCAGAAGGGCCACGAAAAAAGAAGTATAATTAAGTCGATAAGAACCAAAACCGGAAACGAACTCCGGTCTTCGACCTGACATCCTCAAGAACAACCGGGTGACTCCCGCCATGCAGAGGTGAATTCTAGAGGTGAACTTCATAGAGAGAACCCCCCAACCCAACCCAACGCGCAAGCGAGCTGTCTAACATGCAGTTCAGCGCGCTTGGTAGGGAGTTGTAGAGGGCTTGAATCTCCGCGGTGATATTGTCATAGTCAGCCTCTGTCATCGACTGTGTCGTCATCGCCTGGGTCCCAGGACATGTCATCATGTAGTATGGGCTGGCCCACGTGGTGCTGGTGGTTGTCTCTTTCTGGTTGCCCATGGTCTTTTCAATCTGCAACAAGCCACGGCTACCTGCACTCAAGGTGCAACCAGCGCCACATGTCTCAAGACTATCGTCACATACTGCAAGAGTACTGAAGCTGGCGAGAAGACAGGAAATCATCAGTGCCAGCGGCATAGCACGGTTGAAGAAAAAGGACGGGTAAAGTGCCTATGGAACTTGAGATCCATGCTGCATATAGGTTTTTTGGAACCTTGCTTCAATGTCAATGTCGATCTTGCCCCGTCAAAAACGAATATGAGAACCAAATCATTCTTGGGCAATTGGGGTTGTGGGTCAAAAATGAATGCTTGGACTGGGGTATTTGCTTTTCTCGAACACCCAAATGGGAAGAAGCCAACAAAATGTGGGAAATTGAAGCGACCTTTGAGGCCCTTGGACTCGGAAGCCTGGGCTTCCGACATGACGTTCTCACGTGCTTGGGGCATTCACGAAGATGACCCGAGACGCTGGAACTGTCCTCCGAAGTAAATGAAGTCTGATGGAGTCACACACTGCGCCAAAGCGCAGACGGTTCAGAAAAAATAGGCGCTTAAACACCAACAGTCAAAGTGTCCCTTCAAAATCTAGGAACCCAATCATTGGCTTTCTTGCGTCCTAGCCTGCGAAGCTTCTTGTTAGCCAAGTAGTTACAGTACCCGTTTCTTTCTTTCTTACTTACTTACTTGCTTACTTACCTCTCCGGGCCTTAAGAAAGAAACGTTTCGCTGCAATGGACCATTTGGACCCTCCTCCGCTCCGCAAGCGATCTGGCCCTCTTGAGAATGCTCACAGCACCAGCGCCGCTTGGTGTGGCTCCATCGGCTCTTCCAGTGGTGCAAGTGCAGCGTACAATCGAAAGGGACCTTCGGCTCATGGAAAAACTGTGCTACCCTGAAAAACCGAAAGAGTATGATCACGGTGAACTATGTCAATAAATCCATACCTAGCATACCTGGCATCGTTTTGTTCAACTTCTGCCAAGGATCAGCCACATCGCCGCCGCCTTGTGAAGCAGCTTACTATTCTCTGTCTTCTTGAGCGAACTAAGGGAAATGCAAAGCCCTGGCCTGGAACATAGATGGTGCCGAGTGAACACTGGGCCTGCAAAGGCGTGCAGTGCATGTTTATGCTTGTTTGAGCTCACAAACATGCCACCCCCACAGTGTAAAGATATTTGGCACTAGGCACAAAAGAAGGCAAACTGTAGATGGATGAGTGGATCTGGATAAGTGTCTTGAAGAGAAACAAGGACAAAAAGACGGCCCTCGGTGAGCAACACAAAAGAAAACTAGACGACGAGTGGCCCGAATGCATTTTTCATCACGTAGGAAGTCAGAGTGCGAGTTATCCGGTAAGCGTGCGGTGTGAAGTGTTACGTAGGTTTCCTGCTAGTAGCTAGTAGCTTAGTGGCTTCAGCTAGATGTCCACACGGCATGAACATGTGAAACATGTGACGTGAACGGGTCATGGAGATTCTCGGTTGCGGAGAGCGTGCCCAAAGTGGAGAGACTTGAGGCCAAGGGGGGGGGCGAAAGCTAGCGCTCCAGAATGGGAAAGTGGAGGGCAGCGAGGTAGGAAAAAACACGGCGCTCTTTTTGGAGGCAGGGGTGAAGAGTCCTTTATATGTGGCTCTTTGCCCGGATCCTCCTGCGAGAGAAGAGAGAGAAGAGAGACGGAAAGACGAGAGACAGAGAGGAGAGAGAGAGAGAAGAGAGAGAGAGATGAGAGAGATGAGAAAGAGATGAGAGAGATGAGAGAGATGAGAGAGATGAGAGAGAGAGAGAGAGAGACAGTGAGACAGTGAGACAGCTTGAACTTCAGCTCCAGGAAGATGACAAGTGGTACCAGGAGGTGTATGAGGCAGCAGCGCATCGAGTTGGAACCCTCCTCACTGATCCGGAGCACTACATGAATGGGCATGTGGAGCCAGTGGTTGCACCCTACAAGGTACAGCCAGAGAGACCGCGGGGGCGCTTGGATGTGCTCCGCAGGATGAGTCAAAAAGACAATGGCCCTGGTGAGCACCAATGGCAGTTGAAGGGCCAAGGACTGCTGTGCCTGTTGTGCGGCCTTCACATCAAGAGCTGCTCAACGCATGCTGAGATTGAGGCCAAGGCAGCCACGGTGTGCCCCGGCGAGAAGGTCAAGACTTTGACAAATATCATGGAGGACATGCTCAATGCTTCGTCCCTGCAACAGGATCACCAGCCAGGGCACCGTTGGTATCTGCGAGCCAGCTCCTTTGGATGCAGCCGATGTTGGATCAAGGTTGCTCGCAGATGTGGTAAGGAGACTCTCCACAGGCTGGCAAATGAACCCTGCCAATATGCCGCAGTGACAGAGCAGGACCTCAATCTGCGCATGAGAGTCCACCCCCAGCACCAGCTGATGCAGAGGGGTCAGTGGCTTGAATGTCAGAAGTGCTTCAAAGTCTCCAAGATGACAGGAGGCAAAGTGCAACCGTGGATGGCACAAGAATGCCCTGGAAGGGCGAAGCAGACAAAGCTGGCCTTTGCACCCAGCTCTAAGCCTCCCCGATACAAGGAGAACGAGCCTTGTCGGGACCCGCTTTTCCCTTGACGGTGCGGGAGTCGACTGCAGCAGAGAGAAAGAACCGAGCAAAAAAAAACAAAACAGTGAGACAGTGAGA